TCAGCCCGCGTCCCCCCCCCCCCCCCCCCCAGTACCTTAATGTAAAAAATATTTAAAATGGATGCATTTTCAATGTTAACTGTAGACCTGAAACTCTAGTCTATAGATTTGGGATTAAATAGTTGAAAATAATGTCAAAATTTTATGCCCTTTTAATAGTGAATTTGTTTGGAAACCCAGCTGCACATAAGCTTAATATCTTTGGCCAGTGATGGTCCTAGGAAATATGAAGTTCCAGGTCATGGATTTTCTTTCTTTTTTTTTTTTTCTTTTTTTTTTTTTTTTTTTTACACACTAATTGTTAATCTTTGTATTTGCATTTTGGCAGAGTTCGTTCATACATGTGAAAGCCTTTGCCACGAAGGAGACTGTAGACCATGTTCTCACACATCAAATATTTATTGTAGATGTGGCTTCAAAAAAAAGGTGAGTGTATAAAGCTTGAGCATAGAAACGGGTAATCTTTGTTTTTTAAAGCTGTAGAGAAAAAGGAGCTGAAGTAGTTGAGGAAAAGAAAGCTAAGTAGTATAAGAGGTGCTGTGCTCCTTACTTGCGAGAACCTCCATTGTATGCTAACTATATTGTGCCGTGAAGCGCTAATGTAGGCTGCTTACTGTGAAGACAATTTTTTTTGAAGTATTTTTGCAGAGTTTACACAGAATTCTGTTTGTTTAAGCTGGCTGCAAAGACAGATATTATCCTGCTGTATTTATATAGCAGAAAGAATAGTAGTTTTACCAAGAGTTATGTAAACTGAGAGAAGAAAGGTAGCCTAACATAAAAATCTGCCTATAATTTTATAGTAATAAATAGCTTGTAGAATTTTTTGGGAGAACATGAAGTTTTTACTGGTGCCCATTCTTCATACATTTATATGGTGACCCAGCAAGATTCTCGGCAATTGTTATATAATAATCAGTATGTTTTTAAACTGTGCTACTTTCTGTGATCATAGCTTTGAACGCTTTGGCTACTATCACAGGAGCCTTGATGGCTTTTCTGACCTGTTGTATATCATCTCTAAGTAAGAGATGACTTCTGAATATGTAAGTCTATAAGTACATGGAAATGACTGAGGCTTTGTTTGAGGTTGGAACAGTTTTCTCCTGCAAGTTTGCTGAAGGTAGTTATGGGGTAGGAGGCTCCAGATTATCTTCCATTTTGAGGTGAGGCCTGAAACAAAGTACTGAGGTTTGGGGTTTAGTTTATGCAGCTTCTCAGGCACCAGAAACCCACTGCTTGAAAAAGTATGAGTGAACTACAGTGATGATTTAAATTGGTCATGAAAAACGTGATGCTCAGAAATGACAAGTCAGAATCTAAAGTTGTGGTGACTGAAGGTTTAAATGTAGTCAGTCAACAATGTTCTTTTCATCCATTTTACGCACACCTCTTATATTCATGCTGAGGTCTTTAATCTAGGTAAAACTTCCTTGATCATGCATTCTGTCAATATTCTCTGGGAGAGCTCTTTTGGCTTCCTCCATGCACATTTCTGATTTCTTAGGACAAACCTGTTTCTGTCACTTCACAGCATTATCCATCAAATTAAGTGAAGAATACAAAACTACTTTTTTTTTTTTTTTTTTTTTAAATTGATATTGAACCACTAAGGGAAAAGTATTGTGTTAAAAGATTTGAGGATTTTTTCCAGCTTTTGTTTCACTTTTGTATACAGAAGTGTTATACACATAAAAACTGAGTGCTGCTTCTTTCTGTATCACGCGACTAGGTGTTTTCTAGATAAGTAAGTTTCAGCTGTTTTACCTGTCTTAACCTGATGGTTCCCTGTTTGTTTCCTAGGAAGTTCCATGTGCTCTCCTCAGAAATAAAGGTACAATGTTATGTTACATATACAATGTGAAATTGTTCTAAAACCAATACACAGTTCATATCAATTTTGGGTTTGGTTGACAAAGTTGGCAAACATCTGATCAGTACTTCTGCTTTTATCCATACTCTGTGCCAAGTTGGGCACTTCTTGAGATGCTGCTAATTTTGGGAAGAGGTTTGAAATGAACCTTTTTCATTTCTAGCCATCTTTTACATAAGGAGAGACGTCTTCAGCATTTGATCTCGAAGATTCCAGATGAGCCGTCTATTTCAATTTGAACAGTTTCTTATGCCACCGACCATATTCAATAGGTTGCCCCCCGGCATCTTGCATATCTTTGGTCAACTTGCACAGCTCGGATGCAGAGTAATGCTTTTGCTCTGCTCTTGTCTGAGTTCCTGGGGAAATACAAGCTTTGAGCCTGCTTTGCAGGTGTATGCTGCTGGTCTTTGCATGTGAGCCCGGCAGAGAGTTCCCATTTGACGCTTCTTGGTATTCTGTATGTAGCATCTAAAGTTCACCTCTGTGAAATGTTTACTTGATGGACCCCTCTCATACTGACGTACTTATTTATAAGATAAATAAGCTAGTTATATGCATATCACCTAATTCGAGCTTTTGTCTATGAAGACTTTGCTCTTCAGAATCCCGAAGTGGTTGCTTTTGTTACCTGTGGGTAGTGATAAGGATGTTCTTTGTTAGCAGTAGTTTCATGAGCATATCAGCAGTAGTTGTATTTAGCTGACTTTTACTGCCTTGCCAACGTGAGCAGTCTGAAATTGGATGTTTGGTGTACTCCAGTGAATCGGGACAGTCTGTTTTCTGCATTCTGTTGTGCAGAGTTTATGGTGTAAAGACTTAACATGAAGTAAACTAAGAATTTCATGTGTTCTGCTCTCCAAAATCCTTTTGAACAGGGGTTTGTTTAAAGGAAGCCAAGTGTTCACCTGGGGAATTAATGTGGAAGAGCAAGTAATTTAAAATTTGGTTGCTGACTTATTCCGTATTAGTCTCTTCTAGACCACGCTCTGCAAAAGCCTTAGCATAATATTGTGATCACAGCTTTTGTTCTCAGCATAAGCAGAGACATACAAGTTATTACTGGTTTGTGTTTTTGTTTTTAATAGCTGCTATTACATTCATGTGTGACAAGCGATGCAACAGGAAAAGATCATGTGGACGACACAAGTGTAATGAAGTTTGCTGTGTGGTAAGTTTATGTGTGCCTTTATAAATTTTTTCATGGCGATGTGTGTGTGGCTTTGGTGTGATGTTAATAAGACTTTTTTGCTTTTGTGTCTTTCCATTTCTGTGCTTCTTCCATGTCTATTAGCAGTGTTGGTCACACTGAAGAAGTTTGTGTGTGCGCATTTATTTTGCAGCATTTGTTTTATAGGTATCATTATAAACGTAAAACCATGTTCCAGCCTAAACGCAATTAGGTTGGTTTAAGGGTGCTTTTTGTCAGTGCAGTGGTTCCAGGGAGAGTGGGGAGGGGAGGGATATTACATAATGCAAGAAGCACATAGCTGTGTCTGGAACAGAGGTCTTAACAGAAGCTGTGTTAAAAGACTGTGTATCCATACAGTGATGGAAAAACTATGTAGATAAGGCCTAAGCTGTTTTTTGCACTATACAGTTTTGTCTGTTAGTAGACTATGACCTTACCGAGAAAAATAAACCCATTAGGGTTTATAGTCTTAATTCTGCTTTTCTTTTTGGCCTTCCCCTAGGACACAGAACACAAGTGTTCTTTGGTTTGTGGTCGTAAACTCAACTGTGGGCTTCATAGGTGTGAAGAACCCTGTCATCGGGGCAGTTGTCAAACATGCTGGCAAACAAGTGAGTTACATGCAAGAGTACATTATTTCTTATGTTATAGAAATGTATTCACTTAACTGGTCAGAGTTGGACAAAGAATGTGATCCAAATTGACCGGAACCTGAAGAATATGCAGTTGATTTTGACTGTATGGTTTTTTTGATGAATGAGAACACTATTTCATTTTAAAAAGAGTTTACTAAGTGCTGGATTTTAATAGTTAAAAATTTAATTACAGTGAAGTATATTCAGTTATGTACATTGATCCGGCAATCACTTGGAAAATTTGAGGAATCCTGCAAGGAAAAAGCCAGCAGTTTAGAAAGATAATTTCTGAGTTAAAGGAACTCTTGTTTTAACAATGTAATAACTGCTAAAGATACTGAAGTATGGAGCAGAACTTGTTTAGCTGCTTAGAATTCAGACTTTCCCAACTTGGTACAGTAGTGATTTTTTTTTTCTGGGCAGGACCATCTGAAGGAGATGTCAGTCTTGTGTGTCTTTTAGGCTTTCTGCTCACGTTCGGGATAGTAAAAATTAGTACTGAATTGCTAGAAATAAGTTGA